AAAAAAAAAAGAAATACACCTCTTGAGCACTTTCTGGGTCTTTTTTTCTGTAGGGTGCAACGGCCCTCAACAGCCAACCAAAAAAAAAAAATAAAATAAAACAAAACAAAATAAAATAAAAAACAAAACAAAATAAAATAAAACAAAATAAAATAAAATAAAATAAAATAAACACCTCTTGAGCACTTTCTGGGTCTTTTTTTCTGTAGGGTGCAACGGCCCTCAACAGCCTATCTACACCGTCTCCTCCCGCGCGAGAACCAATGGTCACCTTCTCGTTTACATTAAGATGCTGCAGCAGAGAGTTTAAAACTTCTGCTGCATGCAGTTTTGTTCCTTCAAGAACAAACGCACTAACTCCTGCTGCTGCTCCTGCTGCTGCTGCTGCTGCTGCTGCTGATGCTGCTGCTGCTGCTGGTGCTGATGGTCTTATTCTTTTAAATAAAAAAGCAGGAAGCTTCTGGGTTTGTATAAATAAAGAAGATAAAGAAGGACGCAACTCTAATAAATTTTCTATCACCGATAAACAACTGCTTATACCCAAGGCGTCGTCCTCAGAACCATCTGAAACACAAACCCTAAACCCTAAACCCTTATAAACCCTTATAAACCCTTATAAACCCTTATAAACTCTTATAAACCCTTGTAAACCCTTATAAACCCTAAACCCTAAACCCCTACAAACCCTAAACCCTAAACCCTAGGCCCTTATAAACCCTAAACCCTAAACCTTTACAAACCCTAAACCATTACAAACCGTAAACCCTAAACTTTGTGTTATAGGAATAGTATTCGTTTTTATATTTAAATGAATATAAACACTAATTTAATGTAGTGGTTCTGGTGGTGGAGTTAATAGAGAAAGAATATCACACAGAATAAATAAATAAACAATTAAATATATTTGTTTATAAAACAAACAAATAGACAAATCAAAAAAACGAAAGAAAACAAACAAACAAACAAACAAACACAGAAATAAACAAAAACAAATAAATAAAGAAATAAAAATAAACAAACAAAGAAACAAACAAAAACAAACAAAAACAAAACAAACAAACAAACAAAACAAAGAAATAAATAAAAAGAAATAAAATAAAATAAAATAAAATAAAATAAAATAAAATAAAATAAAATAAAATAAAATAAGTGAAAACTAACCTTCTTTTAACCGACATAATAAATCGACGATCATCTCAGGCAAATGGCTGCTGGTCTGTTGCAACAAAAAAACAAAAAATAAAAAAATAAAAAAAAAATAAAAAATAAAAAGGAGAATAAACAGATAAAAAAAGAATAAGTAAACAGAAATAACTCTCGTCTAGGCTTTATTTATTATTTATTACTTATTTTGTTTTTATTGTTTTTGCTTTTTTATTTTTTTATTTTTTTATTTTTATATATTTATTAGTTGGCTCCATACAATAACTCATTACTTTTTATTTATTTATTAATTAATTAATTTATTTATTTAAATTCTTTTATCTTACGATTTGATTAGGAGCCTCCATAACGCCATCAGCTTCTCTATTTCTAGTCCTAACTAAACTACAAATTAACTAAATTAATTAAATATATTTATTTATTTATTTATTTAAATAAATAAATAAATAAATAGATTTAATTAATTAATTTATTTATTTAATTTATCTTACAATTTGATTGACGGTGAGTTCCGAGAAGACTTCAGCTGTATCTACAGCAATATTAACTCTATTTATTTAGTTTTTTTTTTAAACTAAATAATTTATTTATATATTTATTTATTTAATTTATTTATTTATTTATTTATTTAATTTATCTTACAATTTGATTGACGATGTTCTCTGGGTTGGGGGCCTCCATAACACTGTCTGCTTCTGTGAGTTCGGAGAAAACTTCAGCTGTATCTACAGCTAGATCTGTATTTGCATGCGAAAGTAAAGAAATTAATAAATCAAAAACACCACATTCAAATAAAAAAGGAAATAAAAAAGGAGACGCAGACACCTGAGTCCATCGACGAACTTCTTCGTCCAAGTCAACCTCAGATTTTATCCACCTACACAAAAAAAAAATATATATTTTTTTCTTTTTTTTGTTTTGTTTGTTTTGGTGGTTTTGTTTGTTTGTTTATTTATTTTGGTTAGTTGTTTTGTTTAGTTTGTTTTGTTTGCTTTGTTTATTTTGCTTTAAATTTAATTAGGCAAATTCATAAAAATATATTTTATATATTAACAACAACAAAACAAAAAAAAACAAAAAAAGACAGCAACAAACAACAACAAACAACAGCAAGAGTATATATATATATAGATATAAATATATATATATATATATATATATATATATATATATATATATATATATATATATATATATATAT